AGTGGCTAGAAGTTTGTTGCAAGCCAAAAATCTTCTGAACAGTTTATAGGAAGAAGCAGTAGCTACATCAGTTTACTTGTTAAATATCTCTCCTACAAAAGCGATCTAGAACAAGACTCCTTTTGAAGTTTGGTAAGGTATGAAGCCTTATGTTAGCCACTTGAAAATTTTTGGTTGTATTGCTTATACCTTAATTAACCAACAAAATTGTCAAAAACTAGATGGCAAGTTTGAAAAATGTATTTTTGTTGGTTATTCATTTCAATCCAAGGCTTATAGGTTGTATAATCCTAGTAGTGGCAAAATAATTATTAGCAGGAATGTTGTATTTGATGAACTTGCAAGCTGGAATTGGAATGAAAGTCAAGCAATGCTAGCTGCTGAAATTCATGTAGAAGATGAAGATTTGGTTTAGCCAACAGAAAAATAGGTACCTTTCACGCAACATCTCATATTTCGAGTTCCTCCCAACCAGCGACCAGGCCAAGATGACAAATTCAAACATCTTCTCGTTTAAGAAATTTTGAGGTGATTCAAGATGATGCCATTAATGATGAAGGAGATATAATTCAATTTGCAATGATCGCAAATGTTGACCCATCGTCTTATAAAGAAGCAGTAGATGAAAATATGTAGTGTAATGCAATGAAAGAAGAGATGTCAGCCATTGAAAGAAATTGTACCTGGGATTTGGTCGATTTACCTGCAGAAAAAGAAGCAATCGGATTGAAGTGGATTTTCAAAATAAAGTACCAAGTAGATAGGAGAATTCAAAAGCATTAAGGCGTGACTTGTAGCTAAGGGATATTGCCAAAAGCAAGGTATTGATTACGAAGAAACATTTTCTCCTGTGTTGCATTTTGAGACCGTAAGAATTGCTTTAGCATTAGCTGCACAATTGAAATGACATGTTTTTCAATTTGATGTTAAGTCAGCTTTTTTAAATGATGACTTGAAAGAAGACGTTTATGTATCACAACTAGATGGGTTCGTAATAAAAGGCACGGAGAGTAAGGTATATAAGTTGAAAAAGGCTCTTCACAGGCTAAAACAAGCGACACGAGCTTGGTACAGTAAGATTGATTCTTATTTTCAAAATTTCGATTTTTTTAGAAGTGAAAACAAGCCAACTCTTTATCTGAAAAAACAAGAGAATAATTTGTTGTTAGCATTTCTTTATGTAGATGATATGATTTACATGGGATCATCTTCTTCTATTGTTTTTGAATTTAAAGAAAATATGATGAAGACTTTTGAGATGACAGATTTGGGGATGCTTCATTACTTTCTTGGTGTGGAGATTATTCAAATAGCAGATGGGATTTTTATATCTCAAAAGAAGTATGCAGCTAATCTTGTTCGAAGATTTCACATGCTAAATTGTAACTCCACAGCAACTCTAATGAATGTTAGTGAAAAGTTACAAGCCAATGATGGTTCAGAACCTGCAAAAGGAAAATTTTATAAAAGCTTGGTGGGTGGACTGATTTATTTATGTCACACAAGGCCAAATATAGCCTTTTCTGTTGGTGTTGTTTCTAGGTTAATGCATAGTCCTTCTAATCAACCTCTTGGAGCAGCAAAAAGAATTCTATAGTATGTTGCAAGAATTTTGAATTTTGGGCTTTGGTATACTGCAAGCTCAAATTTCAAGTTAAAAGGCTTTACGGACAGCGATTGGGCAAATTCTCTTGAAGATAGAAGAAGTATTTCTAATCAAGTATTTGTTCTTGGTTCATGTGCAGTGCCTTGGAGCTCAAAAAAACAACCAACAGCAGCCTCGTCATCAACGGAAGCAGAATACATGGCTGCAATTGCCTCAGCTTGTCAAGCAATTTGGCTCCGAAGGTTATTGAAGGATCTTAACCAAGGACAAAAGGAAGCAACTAAGATTTCCTCTCATAACAAGTCCATAATTTTAATGTCAAAAAACCTAGCCTCTCATGGGAGGACTAAACACATAGACACCTGTCATCACTTCATTCGGGAGTTAGTTGCAACTGAGCAAATTGTCTTGACTTACTACAGCACCGAAGAACAACTTGCAGATGTTCTGACTAAAGCACCCTCGCTTAAAAAGCTTTCGTACTTCTGTTCATGTTTTGGAGTGTGTGATTTTGAATCAAGGGGGTGTGTTAGAAGTTGACTGAAAATAGGATATTTTTGACAGCTCATGCTTTGTTAGATAGTTGCTAATAATTCTCCTACTTTTGTCTCTTTGTTTGTTGAGTCAAGGTACGTTACTGTTAGTGCCATACTTTTCTATTATTTCTATTATATGTATGGCTATGAATAAGCCAACAACTCTCTTGATTTTATCAACCAATATGAGTGCTTCTTTCATCTTCTTTCATTATTGTTTAGTCTCTAAATCTTTCTATTCTTATTGTTTAACTTGATACAGAATTTCAGTTATCAAGTGTCTAGTTTTGCCCAACACTAATCTTGTAATTTGGAACGCAAAGAATACAAACCTTCAACCAAGAACCAGCACCCCCCAAACTGATTTTATTATTGGCATGAAGCTTGGGTGAGAGAACCACGCGGCCTAAAAGCAAAAAGGAGACGAGGGAGAAGTAGTAACTGACACCATAACTTCCAAGTGCAGCTAGCAGTGGTGAGAGACCAAACGCTCGAAGTGAGAAGGACTAGCACTAGAAAATAACAATTGCCGATGAACATTTTTAAAGTCCCAGTCAAGTCTAGTAGCTTGGAAGTTAGAAGAAGAATGCCCCGTTGACTAAATGAACTTGGAACCGAAAGGATCAATAGCAGTTAAACCCAGTGAATCCACTTACTGCCGAAACCAAACACACCTAGCATTCACATAATCTCCTCTACTAGTGGTCTCTAAAGGGAGCATACGCATGTTGAAATCTCAAGACATAAGCCACGATAAATGAACATTGGCCCTAAAATTAACTAATCGTTCCAACATAATATTCTGATATTGTTCCGATGGTGATGCATACATCGTCGTGTATATCCATCGTCGGTTCAAGCTATCTGTCACCAAAAAACTATTATTGCTAGCATAGAGAAGGGTACAATACTATCAATTTTGTAACTTCAGGGTATAATAGGTTCCTCACAAGGTTTGAGGTTCCACAAATTTTTTTGTTGGTGGAGTACAAAGGTAATTTTATGCATTTGGCCATTTTATTTTTATTATTTTTTTAAAATGATGAAAATAATTTTTATTTGCAATTCTATTATTAATTACAATTGAAGGTGTTATTGCCACAAAAGATTAGAATTAAAGTAAAATTGATGTAAAGATTATAGTAGAATGAAATTGCAAAAACCCACAAAGTTCAAGATAATCCGATATGTATATCTCAAATTTGTTTAAAATTTCTTTTGAAACATTCATATCTAAACTTTATCAAAATTTTACTACATATATCCATATGTTCGAAACTATTTTAGATACTTTTTATACTTGTAAATTTTGATTATCCATACATGTCCTAAGATCAATTTAAAATATCTTTTTACTATTCTTACTGTTTTAAACTACTTAATGTTCGTTTGATTTAGTTGTTCATACCAGCTAATAGCTGATGATAGTTGCCATGATGATATTTGATAAAATTTTTGTAGCGGTTGTTGTTAAAATGTAAAATGACCGTTGAAGATATATTCTTTTTATCAATTATAGTGTAATATATATTTTTGTAGCGGTTGTTGTTTAAAATGTTAAAATGACGTTGAAGATATATTCTTTCATCAATTATTAGGTGTTAATATAGGTGAGGTAGCGTAGGGGTATAGTGGGTAGGTGGAGGGTAGGTAGGTGAGGTAGGGGTAGGTAGGGGGTATTAGTATGAGGTAAGTATGGAGGTTGGAGAGTATGAGGTGGTAGGTGTTTTGTGTGGTGCACGTATTTATATTTTAAATATTAAAAATAATATTTTTTAGTAGAAATTATAAGTTGAATATATTATTTTTGTTTTCACGTATTATATAAATATTAAAATAATATTTTAGTAGAAATTATTATTTTCAAATAACTATAAATAAAAGATATTAATTAAAAAAAACTTTTACTAATAATTATTTTTATGAGGTTAATGAATTTCAAATATAAATGAGCTAGCACTAATATGAAAAAGTTTTAAAACGTAACTAATGCAATCATCAATTGATTGTGACATCCATAAGCTATTTAGTATATAAATCAGTTATCAATTATATGAATCAGCTGAACCAAACTATTTTTAGTATTACTTGCTTATTATTTGTTTTAAATTCATTAATATAAAATACATTTAAATAACATTTATGATACTTAAATAAATTTTAAATTCATGATAATAGAATTTCAAAATTTACAAATAAATAAAGAAAAAAAAATCATTTTAACATCTACATGAAAATTAAAAAATTCATTATAATAAGATTCCAATGGTACCTAAAACCTTAAATTCATATCTAATTTAAACTCATGAAAAATAATAAATTTAAACCCATATTCACCTCAGTTTATCCAAACTCATTTTAAATAAATTGAAATTGATCGAATGCTCAAAAAGATATTTCACTTCCGTTTGCTGGTACATACCAGTTTTGGATGGATTTCAGATTTTTGAAAAGAGCAATGGTGTGGCTCACAAAAAGTTTTATATGAATAGTCACATAAATTAATTGAATTAGAGAAAAATTGGTATTTCACTTATAAGTTTGACAGATACAAATAACAAATAATGAATGACTTTTAAAAATAAACTAATCAAAATGGTTCGGGTTATTATTTTTTTATAATCCTTTTCTGCAGAATATAATTTTTCTTTTTAAAAATCATTATCAAACATTTTCGGTTTAGATAAGAAAATTGTGAATAAGTAATTTCCAATATTTCTTTTGCTAACCCTAACTTAAATATAATTCCAAAGAAATAACAAAGGCTGAGTTGGGTTTCCGAAATAACCCAATACGAGAGAGGGGTCCGGTTCAAAGCATAAGCCTATTTCATCTTTTTTGCAGGGAAAAGGGGCAAAGACATGAATTTTTATGGTCAAGAATTCAAAAAAAGCCTGTCAGAACGGAATGGCTACGCACTATCTCTCCATCTGTCAATCTTCCCTCTCTCAGAGCAAGAATAGCCATGGCTAAAGAGAGCAGTAGAGACCTGGTCAAGATGATCAAAGGTAATAATAACAATATTATTGATAATATTAATAATAATAATGATAATGATAATAAATAAAAATGGATGATTGTCCAAAAATTGCTAATGCTTTGCTTCTTAGCCGCCTCATAGTCTTTCTCTCTCTATCTGACTCTCTCTCTCTCTCTCTCTCTCACTATATTTGTATTCTCTCCGACATTTACCATTATCCCAACGGAGGTATACTTCCTCTCTCTCAATCTTCCATTGTAGTTGTTTGATTTACCTTAAAAGTCTTTGTTATTATATCTATGTTTTTGCAGGCATTGGGATAAGGCTCTATGTGACATCCTGATATGAGTGCTTTTTTTTAATTTTGCTGCACTTTTTCTGTGTCACCATAAAACCTACCGCCAATTTTTAACACTTCCAATCAGATGGCTGATGTCTCCGCTGAATCTTCATCTCCCAAAGCAGGTTTTTCTTTTTTTTTTTTTTTTAATTTATGTGTTCTGTATTTGATTTTTTCTATGGGTATTTTTCAGATTTCGTTTTGTTTTTTTGATTAATTTGCTTTAAATTTTGCTGCTTTCTTTTCATTTATATGTTGGTTAGTTTTCGAATTTTGTTTTTTTTCCATTAATTTGCCTCAGTTTTTATTGCTTTTTTTTTTTTTTTTTTTTTTTTTTTTTTTTTTCCATTAATTTGCCTTCAGTTTTTATGCTTTTTTTTTTTTTTTTTTTTTTTTTTTTTTTTTTTTTTTTTTTTTTTTTTTTTTTTTTTTTTATAAATTGAATTTGTTTTGAGGCATGGTTAGCTTTCAAATTTTGTCTTTTTTCATTAGAAAATTGAGTTTTTTTTATTTCTTTCATTAGTATGCGTCTTCATAATGATTTTAGATAAAGGTAGTTCTCAATTTTGTTGTTTGATCAAATTGCTATGTATCTCTATATGAGATTTTAATATGGTTGTTTTTAAATTTTGTTGCTTGATTAATTTGCTTGAGGTTTTCTACTAAATATATAAATATTTGTGTGTTTTACGTGTGATTTTTTACATGGGGGTTTTCAAATTTTTTTGTTGGATTATTTCTCCCTTGCAGTACCTGATTCAGAAACTGCTGCGGATGACAAGAAGACAAAGATTGAGTCCTTGAAAATTAAAGCCATCAATGCCTCCAACAAATTTTAAAACTCTTTGACAAGAAAGGGTAGAAGTAGTAAAGTGATGTCCCTTGAAATTGAGGACATTCATGATGTTGAGGAGATGAAGGTGGTTGATGCTTTCCGCCAAGTCCTACTCTTAGGGGAACTTCTACTCCCAAGACATGATGATTATCACGTGATGCTCAGGTTAATTTCTTCCCTTTCTTTATCATCTTCTGATTAATGGTTTTTCTGTATCTCATTTCTTAATAAAAGGGTGTCCCTACTCCCTGGTGCAAAGCTCAGAAAGAGTCATTTATCATAAGCAAGCCTTCTACTTGATTCTTTTTGCGAAGACCAATATTACCTTAGAGTCTAAGGCTTAAGCTATGGCCATTTGGTCATATAGGAGTAAGCTTACTGTTTCCTCAAGGCTTTCCTCCTCTACTTTCTTGATCATATGCTTCATTTATAACTAATGTGATGCTTATGATTTATTAAACCCATGAATTTATTATTTTCACCACTTACTGTTTCCTCAAGGCTTTCCTCCTCTACTTTCTTGATCATATGCTTCATTTATAACTAATGTGATGCTTATGATTTATTAAACCCATGAATTTATTATTTTCACCATTTTATAGATTCTTGAGAGCCAGGAAATATGATGTTGAGAAAACAAAGCAAATGTGGACTGAGATGCTCCAATGGAGGAAGGAATTTGGTGCTGACACTATCATGGAGGTACTTATGGATTTTCAATTTTGATCATTTGTTTGATTTATGGATTTTTATTTTCATAATTTGGTCTAATTCATTTTCGTTTTCGCTTTTCTTGAAGGATTTTGAGTTCAATGAACTCGATGAAGTCATGCAATATTATCCCAGGGGCATCATGGTGTGGACAAGGATGGAAGACCTATATTACATTGAAAGACTGGGCCTAATAGATCCTACCAAGCTAATGCAGGTCACAACCATGGATCGATATGTCAAGTACCACGTGCAGGAATTTGAGAGGACTTTTGCTGTTAAATTTCCTACTTGTTCAATTTCAGCAAAGCAGCCAATTGATCAGAGCACAGCCATCTTGGATGTGCAGGGAGTGGTATGTTGTGACTATAAAATCAGATTTCAGTATATTAAGTAACAGCTATAATCCTCATATAAGTAATGTAATTAAGATATCAATTATCATCAATCTTTCAAATATACTTTTGAAAGATCATCTCTGCAAAATGATAATAATAGGCACTAGAGCTCTTTACCACATTTATTAACTATATGTAAATCTTTAATATCTACAGGGCCTCAAGAATTTTAACAAAAATGCAAGGGATCTTGTCACTTGCCTTCAGAAGATTGATGGTGACAATTATCCCGAGGTACTAACAAGTTCTGTCCTATATATAGTTATGATTCATGTCAATTGCTGCTTCTTTACAGACCTTGAATCAGATGTTCATCATCAATGCCGGTTCTGGATTCAGAATGCTGTGGAACACTATAAAATCCTTCCTTGATCCTAAGACCACTGCAAAGATCCACGTTAGTGTGTAGATTATGATATTCCATGAGTAGAACTTATCTAGGCAAATAACTAATTAGTAAGGATGTTAATTACTCACCAGGTTCTCGGCAACAAGTATCAGAGCAAGTTACTTGAGATCATTGATGCCAGGTATAAGTTTCTAATGAGAATATTATGCAAATATCTTTGTCATGTTGGTTCTTTTTTCCACGACAATACAGTTCTTTCTTTATTTTTGGTTTTGCCCTTTACTAGTGAGTTACTGGAGTTTTTGGGAGGCACCTGCACTTGTGTTGATCGAGGAGGCTGTATGCGTTCTGATAAGGGCCCTTGGAAAGACCAAGAGATTATGAAGGTGTTATGCAATCATATTCATTCTTTTATCTCATTTGTTTTTCTAAGAAATCATGAGTGTTACTTGTTCCATTGCCTTGCAGATGGTCCAAAACGGAGATCATAAATGTTCGAACAAATGTGAGACTCCACATGCTGAGGAGAAGACAATACCTGAGGATGAGGGAGTAGTAGTAGTGGCCTCAAAGGTCTTAATTCCTTAAATTGTTTGCTTTAATTTTTTTTCGTTATCTACTTTTCTTTTACTTCCCAACTTACTTCATATTGTAATTATCCAGAGACACACATCTTTTAAGGTGGGGCCTATAGAAGTTGCAAAGGAATTAGAGTATGCATAAGTCGCTCCGTTCCTTGCACAAGTAAGTTTCTTAGAGTTCCTACATATCTTATCAACCATCATAAAGTTCAGAAATTTTTTATTTTTGATTCTGATAGGTCCCAATCAGAGTTAATAAAGATTTAGTCTAAGTTTGATAATTTTTGTTCATGATCCTTCTGCTGTAGATACAAGGATTTTAATAGGAGAGAAAATAAACCAACTAGTCCTATTCTAAAGGCCACAAACGGCACAATTGAGTGAAGATACAAGGATTTTAATAGGAGAGAAAATAAACCAACTAGTCCTATTCTAAAGGCCACAAACGGCACAATTGAGTGAAAGTAGGCAAATATGCTGCAACAATCTCAACAACATATATGATTTATTCAACATGAAACTGATTAATAAAATAATTAATTAAAAACAATTGCAGCAGTAAAAAGATAGTTTTGCAGCAGCAACTCAGTCCTCAAACTTCTTATTCATCACACGAGTCCTTGAAGACCCGAGTCCTTGAAGACCTTCTTGGTGGAGTGTTAACATTACCGCCCCCTCGGACAATAACCTTGTCCTCAAGGTTAAGGTTTGCATAGTTCTCTTTGATGAAGTTAGAGTCGACCCAAGAAGCATCTTCGGGTAGCAATTTCTTCCACTTAATTAAGTTCTGTTTAACATATTTGGCCCCTCTCTTAATCCAGCGTGTATCCAATATAGCCTCAGGTTCTAAAATCAGCTCACCATCATCAGAAATTAGAGGCAGCGATTGAGAAGTCAGAACTGTATTGCCAACCTGTTTTCTCAAAAGCGACACATGAAAAACTGGATGGATGCGAGACTCAGCTAGAAGTTTAAGTTTATAAGCTACCTGCCCGATTTTTTCCTCAATCTGAAATGGGCCATAAAAATCTGCAAGCAAGCTTTTGATGCTGTCGAGCAATCACAGACTGTTGGCGATAGGGATGAAGTTTTAAAAATACCCAATCACCAACTGCAAATTGTACATAACGCCTTTTTGCATCAGCATATTGTTTCATTCTATTATTGGCAGCCGCAAGATTAGATTTCAGCTGTAGGAGTAAAGCATCTCTAGAAAGGAGATTTTGATCAACTGCAAGATTAGATTTCAGCTGTAGGAGTAAAGCATCTCTAGAAAGGAGATTTTGATCAACTTCATTGACAGAACTTGTACCTTCACAGTAACGTGGAATGGTAGGTGGCAGTCTCCCGTATAACGCTTGAAAGGGAGTCATTCCTGTGGATATATGGAAGGTTGTATTGTACCAAAATTTCGCCAAAGGCAGAAAAGAATACCATCGGCGAGGCTGTTGAAACACAAAGCAGCGAAGATACTGCTCAATACAACGATTAACCACCTCCGTTTGTTTGTGGATGATAAGCAAAACTCATCTTCAGCTGTGTCCCTAACATTTTGAAAAACTCACGCTAAAATTGACTGATAAATATTGGGTCACGGTCAGAGATGATGGTTCATGGCATTCCATGAAGTTTGACTATGTTTTCAACAAATTTTTCAGCCACCACCTTGGCTGAATATGGGTGAGTCAACGCCAAGAAGTGAGCTGATTTGCTCAGTCTATCAACCACAACCAAAATAGAATTCTTAACATGTGAAGTTGGCAATCCATCGATGAAATCCATAGTAATGTCATCCCAAAGTTGGCAAGGAATTGGAAGGGGTTGGAGCAACCCGGCCGGAGATAAGGCCTCACTTTTGACATGTTGGCAAATCTCACAAGCAGCTATATACTTCTGCACTGATTTATACATTGAGGGCCAATAGAATTGCTGAGCCAGCCTTTTTATACATTGAGGGCCAATAGAATTGCTGAGCCAGCCTTTTATATGTTCTCAAAACACCAGAATGGCTGCCAAGAGGAGAACTATGGAACTCATACAATAATTGCTGAATAATGGGAGATTGAGGGGTACAACAACCCTATTTTTGTAGCATATCAGTCCATTTTGCCACTTGTAGGGGCTGCTAGAATTGGTTGAAGCTTCCTTGCCAATCTTGAGCATATAAGGATGGGTTTTGGCTTCGTCTTTGATTGTATCCCATAATTGAGTTTGGGAAACAAACAACGCGTCTAGACTTGGGCTGCCAGAAACCCTAGATAGCACGTCAGTAGCTCCATTTTCTTTCCCCGGCCTATAACGAATTTCATAATCATACCCAAGGAGCTTAGAAACCCATTTTTGTTGTTCAGGCGTCACCACCCGTTGCTCCAATAGGTGTTTGAGGTTGCGCTGATATGTATAAATAAGAAATTTGCGGCCAAGTAAATATGGTCGCCAAGTCTGGACTGCCTGTACAATAGCCAACATCTCTTTGGCATACAATAGCCAACATCTCTTTGGCATAAATGGACCAAGATCGTTTACTGCTGCCCAAGGCTCTGCTCATGAATGCAACCGGCCTGCCCTGCTGTGTTAAGACTGCACCGATGCCCTCACCAAAAGCGTCGGACTCAATGACAAAAGTATCATTAAAATTTGGTATAGCAAGGGTGGGAGTGGTTGTCATTGCCGTTTTCAGCCGCTGGAAGGCTATGTCTGCTTCCTCTTTCCATTGGAAATTCCCTTTCTTCAAAAGATTAGTGAGCGGCTAAGCTATGAGGCCATAATTGCAGACGAACTTCCTGTAATAACCTGTAAGTCCCAAAAATCCACGTAATTCAGTGATGTTAGTGGGTGTAGGCCAATTCAACATAGCCACAATTTTAGTTTGATCCACTTTAACCCCATAAGGAGCCCCATAAGGAGTAACAATATGACCTAAGTACTCCAATTCTTGAGAGCCAAAAGCACATTTGCTACGTTTTATAAAGAGTTGGTGCTGCCTCAAGGTGTCTAGGGCTGTTTTGACATGTTCGAGATGGGTATTCAGTTTGGACTATAAATCAAAATATCGTCAAAAAAGACTAAGACGAATTTTCGAAGGAAGGGGCGAAAAATTGAGTTCATGACTGCTTGAAAGGTAGATGGAGCATTACATAAGCCAAAGGGCAAGACTAAATATTCGTAATGTCCATTATGGATACGAAAGGCAGTTTTTGGAATGTCTGTGGAATGAACTCAAACTTGATGGAATCCCGCCCAAAGGTCTAATTTTGTAAAGTAAGTAGCTCCATGGAGCTCATCCAGCATATCATCGACGGTAGGGATAGGGAATCTATCTTTGATTGTAACTGAATTCAGTGCTCTATAGTCGGTGCAAAATCGCCAAGACCCGACTTTCTTTTTCACCAGTAAAACAGGAGATGAAAATGGACTAGTACTAGATCTGATCAGTCCAGATTCTAACATATCATGCACCTGTTTCTCAATTTCAGCTTTCTGGAAGTAGGCATACCTGTATGGCCGTATATTGACAGGTTCAGTACATTCCTTCAAATTGATGTGGTGCTCGATTTCTCTTGGTGGAGGTAATTGAGTCGGTTCTTGCTCGATTTCTCTTGGTGGAGGTAATTGAGTCGGTTCTTTGAAGAGATCCTGGTATTGATCCAAGAGTGACTGCAGATCAGGGTGTATTTCCACTGTACCCATGGCAGTATTGGTACAAATGGCGAAAACTGAACTCCCATGTCTTGTTTCCTTGGAAATTGCTTGCAGAGAGGCTGGCTGGATAAGTGGTGTCTTCAATCCCTGCAATTTGTAAGTGCAATTGTTCCACTGAAACTCCATCGTAAGATGTTGCCAATTGCAAGCCACCGTTCCCAATTGTTCCAGCCATTGAATCCCTAGAACCATATCCAATCCACTCAAAGGTAAGGCATACAGAGTAACAATAAATGGAATACCTTGGAGGTGGATAGGAACATCATTGAATCGGCCCTGGCATTCTAGTGACTTTCCATTTGCGACTTTGATGTTGCAGGGTTTGGTAGGAACGATTGGCAATTGTAGTATATCAGCTGCTTTGTCATTGATGAAATTATGTGTAGATCCACTGTCGATCAAAGCTACTAAGGTATGAGAACCGATCTGGGCCACCACTCGCATGGTTCTATAAGTCGACCAGCCAGAGAGTGCGTGAAGGGAGATTTCTGGTTGATCCTCTTCGTCATCTATGCTGTCATCTCCACCATCTAATAGCAGAAGCTGAGGTCCTTTGCAGCGATGACCTGGGGTGAATTTATCTTCACAATTAAAACAGAGTCCTTGAGCACCTGGGGTGAATTTATCTTCACAATTAAAACAGAGTCCTTGAGCACGCCGTTTCTGCATTTGGTCCCAAGTTAATCGGCGTATGGGATTGTCTTTTTTAATTGGCGACGAAGTGGAGGATAAAACAGGAGTCGCTGAATTAGGTCGAGCGATTTGCTTCTGCCGAGAAAGCTGGTCGTCTCTCATTCTTGCCAAACTGATTGCATCTTTTAAGGTTTTAGGTTTGAACATACGGATTCCATCTGCAATCTCAGATTTCAGTTCGCCCATAAAGGTACCAACTAGCGCTTTCTGGGTCCATCCTCAAACCTTGTTGCCGAGCCTTTCGAATTCTTTTTGATAATCATGCAAGGAGCCGATTTGACAAATTTTAGACAGAGATTTGTCAAAGTCCTCACAATCGGTCGGACCAAACCTCACCCACATCTCGTCTTCAAAAATCTCCCAAGTTACTTCCTTGCCTTCTTCCTGGTATGTTCTTTGCATCCATTGCCACCACTCATTGGCTTCCCCCTGCATGTGGTAGGAGGCTAAAGACACCTTTTCAACTGCTGATGTAGCTTGGAAGTCAAAAAACTGTTTGGCTCATGTGAGCCACTCTGTTGGATCATTGCCAGAGTACTTTGGAAACTCAAGCTTAGTCAATTTTGAGGAGAACATTGGCCTTCCTCTTTCTGTTGAGTCGTTTCTGCTATGGTGCTGTGGTTGGCTCGAACGCTCAGCGGAGTGGCTATTGCTGCCATCTCGGTTGGACAACACTGTTTCAGATAATTTTGATATCATGTCCTCCAAGCGTTGCAATTTGTCAGCAACCCCAGTTTCCATACGTCCCACAGTGTCTTGAAGTTATGCCAACCCTGCTTCAAGAGATTCAATACGTTCTTTGTCAGTGGCCATAAGTGGGAAGAGAAAAAGAAATGGGGTAGATTGGCTCTGATACCAATTGATAGGTCCTAATCAGAGTTAATAA